CTGCACACATAGGATGCACAGATGGACTAGACATATATGAAGTCCCACCACAAAATAATTTTAAAAATTTTCTCAGCGTCACACACTTCCCTCCATACAGTGGCCCCCATTGTCACCTTGAGCTTTGTTCTTGAAATAGCAGTGAAGGTTGTTTTGGGTGGGAGGCTATGGTGATGCTGGGGGTAGGGGGTTCTGGGTAGGCAGTACTTTGGGATTGCATCTCCTGTGTGGTTTAAACAATGTTTTCCTACTCCTCTTCAGCTGTGAGGAACTGACTGGTCAACAGGAGAGAAATCGCTGTCTGGAAAAGCCTTCCTCTCAGACAGGTCACCTGAAACAAGGGGCACTCTGTGGAGGGACATGGAAGGTCTCCTAATAGCATCGTGTTGGGTTTAAGAGGAGTGCCACTGTCCTCATAAACCATCTGGGCACCTGCTAGGGAGGACACACTAGAACATGCTGTCCAAGCTGTCTGCCAGAGCTGGGGGACTCCAGGTTCATGAGCATACTGATTTTCTTACCATGTATTTATCAGAAACTGACATGCAATGTGATGGCCAAGGAGGCCATGGCTGTTCTCCAAAAGCTCAAGGAAGTTGGATGGGGAGGGGATGGAAAGTCCCCCTTCCCCCACTGAGGAGAACTTGCTGAGGAAGAATTCAGATACTAATTTCATGGAACTATAAGCTTGCAGTGCTCAGGTCTCTACTTCCCAAAGCTGCTACTCCAGATAGGGGCATGTAAAGGAGAACAGAAATCCATGTGCCCCCTCGCCTGTGTTGACTACACCCAAAGATTTTCTGAGGACACCCCAAACCCACCCAGATGATGGATAACGTTCCTGCTACGTAGATCTGACTTTAGAAGCCTCATAAACACCCTTCCTAGGGCTGAGACAACAAAAGGACTTCGGGGCTATGCAGTGCTGGCTCACGGTCTAAGGGAGGCTTGAAAACGCAGGAACTAACTGGCTGCAACTGATGATGTAGTTCTCTGCTGGAATAATCAACGTGTAAGGGCCAAGTGTGCCCTGTAGCCCAGCAGCAGGAGCTGCTTCATCGAGGACATATTTCTAGTAATGCTGGCCATCAACAGACCTGGCAAGACAGACTCGGAGCTTCCTCCCTTTCCCTGTCCATTTGTTCATAGCGTAGTTTCTGGGGTATTTTACTTTTAAAATATACCTCTGGAACTTTCAATCCTTCTGCCTCAGCCTAAGGCATGCACACCAAAGTGAGAGTCAGCTGTCTGTCTGTCCCTGTCTTGACACTTGTGTTCGTCCAGTGTCTAGAAAATCCAATTCTCAGAAGGCTAATTTTATTTCACCCCTTCTTCACAGGAAAGGCTGTGACCCCCAGGAAAGTGCCCCAGTTAGACCTATCTGGGTGGTTTTGCCAAAGCCGAGGCCCAGCTGACATGGCTAGCACCCTGACATCACAGGTCTATAATGCTGTCCCAACCAGAGTACTCTCAGTCTTTGGCCAGTTCCAGAATTTCCAGGCCACTGGGTGCTTTCACCCAGGCTCCAGGTCCCGAAGGCCTGGTGATCACTGGATGATGGCACAGAGAAAACATCCATACTTCTTAGTGGGAGATTCATTCGGATGCCAGAAAGAACCCATTTCCTGTAACATCAGCCATGCAGGCCCTGGCTGACACCGACCTTCCCTGAGACAAGTAGTGTAGACTGGGAGGTGGGGAAAGAGCCAGTGCACCTTAGGGAACTGTGTAAAGAGGTGGGGATCCAAGGGACTGCCCGAGAGGACTTTTACCTAGTTTGTTGTACAGCTCATTGCGTCAACACTTCTGCAGAACACAGCACAGCTGGTGGGTGGGCACCAGGAGTCAAGGAGGCTTGACAGTTTAGAGTCTGCTTCTCAGCCCAGATGTGGTGGTGCACGTTTGTGCTCCCAGCACTTCCGGGGTGGAGGCAGGAGGATCAGAAGTTCAAGGCTATCCTTGGCTACACAGCAAATTCCAGGCCAGCCTGGGATACAGTAGACCCTGTCTCAAACAAACAAATGTTTGCTTCTCGGACAGAGCTGGCAAGCAGGGTGGAGGACTCAGAGAGCAGTGGCGGGGTGGGCGGGGCACAGTGATGAGCTCCCCCCACCCCAGGCAGGCCAGATCTGGCCCATCTGTCGCTAAACCCGAAAGGAAAGCCAGGGAACTCTTTCCTTCTCAGAGGCTCGGTGTTTCTGTCTGCCAAACAGTGCTTAAATTAGGAGACCCCCATGAGTCCCCCCAACTCCAACTTGGATTGTGTCACTTGCTGTCACAATGTGCTGCTCTTATGCCTGATTAGAGTGGGCTTTTTCGACACGATAAAGGTCAGTCACAGCCCTGTGGAGGGAAAGCATCCCAGCTCAGTATGACAGGGCAGGTAGAAACCATGTTTACACTGCAGGTAGAAGCGGTGTTTACACTGCAAATGTGGAAGCAGAGATAAATGTCTAGAACAGCAAACTCACAAAGTACATTATTTGGGAGAATAGGCACTCTACCTACCAGCCCCTCTTTCCCACTCACTCCCTGCTCTCTGAAGCCCTCTTTCTGCCTGGACACACGGACTGGCTGACCTAAAATAAAATACAGATGCTGTTCCACATCCAGACCGACTTTGAGGAAGAGAACCCCTACAGAGCTGAGGGGTTTCACTTCTGTCTCACTGTGTCCTCTGGGGCCCCAGAACAGCTCTCCACAACTGTGAGCCCTGAAGATGGAGATGCTGCTATAGTTGCCCTTAGGGCTGTCCTTCAGCAAGGCTGTTTCTCCACCTCTTCTGTCTTGCTGGCTTTCAGCAGAGCTGAAGCAATCCCTACGGTTCCCATAACATTAGGACTACCTTCAGTTCTGTTACTTTCTCATAAGCTGTGTGACCCTGAGGAAGTGAGTGAGCCTTCCTGAGTCTCAGCCACCCAAACAGAAAATGAGAACATAAATCTCATCTCATCGGCTAGTTGTGCCTGCCAAAGAGTGAGTCTGAAATAAACCATCATTATCTCCATTGCAAAACTCAGCCTTCCTGCAAGGGCAGCAAATTAATCCGCCAGCTCTTAATAACCATCCAGCACAAATGTGAAGCCCTCAGCTACAGTTATTTACAAAGCAGGAAAAACAATCTCCATGGTATAGACCCCACACTCCACCTTCCCTATTTGCTGTTCAGAATAAAGGGCCAGGGAGATAACTCAGAGGTAGAGAGCTAACCTGGCGTACCTGAGGCCCTGTGCTCAGTTCCTGGAACCAATCAATAAATCAATAAATAAAGAACACCAAAGACATCAATAAATGACCTTTTCCACCATTGAGGAGCAACAGCCACCTCTGCACTCAAACTTCCCAAAGATCAGTGGTGCCACCACTAAGTTCAAATAAACATACCACTATCCCTAAGCCGGCAGTCTGTGCTTCCAAGCTTTCGAAAACACAGTTGAACGAGCAACACCATGACCAGAAACAGATCTGGACCGGGATTTAGAGTCAAGGTCTGACTTCAGGTGGTAGGATAGGAGTGCCCACACTTGATGCTGTGCCGACTGCTCAACACCTGCAATTATCTCCACAGCACACAGGGAGGCACTCACTTTAAAGGTGCTAAACTGCTTTGGTTTTGCCCCAAGAAGATGAAACAAGAGAAGGCCTTCATTGCTGGGCAACATTCTGTGTCCTTATTCTCCTTTACTTTGTTATCTCACGCTCCTGGGCACAGGGCTTCTCAGGCCACGAGCTTCAGCAGGGTGTGCAGACATGAGCCAGGTAAACCTCTGGTTCAATAGAATTTTACAGAGAGCACAGCTCACATAGGATCCGCGCAAGAGGAAATGGTGAATTTATTAGTGAGGACTTTAAGGGCAAGACACCACTCTTGCTCACCCTTTGCAATTTCCATAAGAAAAAGTGCTTGTCAGATTAAATCAGCTTGAAAGTTTCATAAGGCAGGGCTGGAGAGACGGCTCAGCGGGTAAGAGCACACACTGCTCATGAAGGACCTGAGTTCTGTTCCCTGCACCCATGTTGGAGGGTTGGCCTGTAGCTCCAGCTCCAGGGGGTCCAGCACCTCCGGCCTCCACAGGCACCTGCTCTCACGTATGTGTCTCATCCACAGACACATATGCACACCGGTAATTTTTTTTTTAAGTTTCATTAAGGAAGTACACATTATTACATCACAGTGACCCTTTACATCTTATCATAAAATCTTCCTCCTCAAATAACCTCAATAACGAAGAGAAATGGAAGCCGGCTCCTAACGAGCTCAAACATTAGCAGAGCAGAAACAGGGCAGGCCCGCACCTCCTGTAGGCTATAGGTTTGAGTTAATTTCCAATCTGTGCCTATTCCAACTTCAGCCTCGCCGATCCTGGGAGAGTCATAATCAATCTCTTAGCACTCCAATTAATTAAACAATTCATTTTTCATAACTCTAAACATTGTCTACAGAGCAAAAAATAAAACAAAGCAAAATGAAACAAGAGAGCATGAGAGAGTGTTGCAGCCAGCAGACGTAGGCGAGCTGCCAGAAGCCAGGGAGCATTCTGCATCAGCAATAGATTCAGGGGTCACTGCTAGAAAGGACCGTCTGCCGTGTCAACCAGTTCTCCTGGTCGTAGCTCCTTCTTGAATGAGTGACACCAAACACCAGGTGTAGAAGCAGTAGCTGATTTGATCATGGGTCACGTCCCACCGACCTCTGCATAAAAATGTTTCCTGCACTCTTCACCGAGTACCACGGCATGAGTGCCAAGTACCACTCTTCACCGAGTACCACGGCATGGCAGCCTGATATCAAAGTGCCCTGTGTGATCTGAGTATTCTGTTGCACCAGCCAAAATGGTGCTAAACTGGATGGTAACGGTGGTAACTGGCAGAGACAGAGGACCATGCAAACCCGTCTTATAGACTAGACCAGCCCTGGGACAGACGCCTCCCAAGCATTTACCGCCCTCACCCTACCGAGAGTCGCATCCCTGGCCCCCACAGAGGGGCAGGCCCTTTACCTTCTTGTACGCAGACCGCTTTGTCACTTGGGACCCAGCCCAGGCTCCCATTAAAAAATCTCATACACAATCTCTTTGAAGAGCCCTTCAGCCTGAATCCGTCTTGGCAGTTAAATCGGGCTGCGTCATTTTCCAAAAAAACTCCTTCACTGGGGGTCCTGAAGCCATTCTGCGGAACGCCTGGATCATCACACACGTCAACGTCATCGAGCCCTGCATTGACAAAGAGAGAAAGTGCCTTGAATACTTCTCCAGGAACTGTATTTTGTGCCTTGGGCCACTCCAACCTTAGGAACAAAATTAAGAGTCTAAACCTGTTAGCTTGCATCCCGTTGGTTAGGAGAGGCCAAGGATAAGGAAGCCGCATGCCTGCATCATGTCCCAAATGCGTCCTCAGTGGGGAGAGGCGGGAATGCCTGAGCGCTGAACAGACATCTGGTATAAAGTAAGGAAAGCCAACCCACAAGTCCTCACTGAGCAGGTGTTGGGAACCAGTATGCGTAACTCCATGGAGCTGGGGATGGTGTGCCCATCTTCAACTCCCGGTACAGCCTGTTGGTACCATTTCTCAGATTTAGAGGGCAGCACACAGTCCTGGGGCTCCTGGAAACTCACCTGCTTCCAGATGCTGCCAGGATGCTGGACTCATGAGGTAGCCACTCCTTTTAGTACCCTGTATTGCTAAAGGTCCTCAGCTGTCAGTGACACCCCTCACCCTGTGTGATTGTGTGAGACTCACACTCCCTCCCTGCTGGCCTTCAAGGCCACTGTGCTAAAAGCCTGAGAAGCACAGCAGTGTCAGCATGTCCAAAACTCACTGTCAGGGCTCCCTCTGTGCAGAGATGATGAGAGACGGTGGAGGGAGGGGACAAGTAAGAAGGAAGACAAAGGTAGGGGCAGCATCCCCACTTCTTCTCCTTAAGTATGAGCAAGTGAGATACTACATCAAAGCAACAAGATACTGTCCAAAAGTCCTGTCCTGAAGGGGGTGCTGGAAAGTTGTCACGAGATTGCTTCAAATTTGCACATTTAGGGGACTTCAGGTCATCAGGTGCTTCTTGGGTAATGGCATCATGACTTCCTTCGGTCTGGAAGGACGCACATTCCCATGGTGGGTCCTCTGAAAAGGCCATTCTGATGGAGTCAGCCTTTCTCTAATCCTATCAGAATGGGGTACATGTGTGACAGAGGGAGCCACAGAAGGGCATGAGGAGTGTATTATCCCAGAGGGTGGGGAAGCCTCTGGAAGGCCTCCAGCTGAGTCCTGGGGACACCCCAAGCCAGAAAGGGAGATGAGCATCATGGGTACAGGTCAAGAGCATCCGAAGCTAAAGACAGAGGACACTGTGACCACTACCTGGACATTGTAAGGGACAAGACGAAACCTGTCTGCTGATGTCTCAAGAGGGAAGAGTGGCAGTAAGTGTGGCCTTCTCTCTCATGAGGTCTGGTGTGAACAGAACACAGGGGAGTAGCTACCCTGGAAAGAGGGTTAAGGCAGAGTTTTACTATTGTTGTAGTAAAATGTTAAGATAAAGCCAGTCACAGTGGCTGGAGCCTGTAATCCCAGCACTCTAGAGGCTAAGCAGGGGAGATTACTGTGAGCTTGAGGCCAGCCTGAGTTACATAGAGAGTTCTAGGTCAGCCTGATACACAGTAAGAGGCTGCCCTTACTGAAAAAAAAAATTAAACAACGGAGATCTAAGAATCTTCACACAACAAAGAAACACAGTGAAGAATAGAAAGCTGTAGCTGGGGGTGGCTGAGGGGGACATTCCAGTAAGCTGCTGCTACCCAGATACGGCAGGGGAGACACCTAAACCCAGGGGCACAGGGGATACTTACCTTCCACTGAAACAGAGGGGAGGTCTTGCCACACCCTTGACTGAGGGAAGGACATTTCTTATAGTTCAAGCATTCTCAGGATACACACAGGAAGCCCCTCTTCCCATCAGGGTAGCCTGGGTTCACCCCTCAAGGTTTTCTTCCCTGTGACCAGACTGCTAGACTACCTATCTGTACCCTTGTCTGGTCTGTGAAAGCCTAAGCAGGAGACTTCATCTTCCTCATCTCCTCAGCATCCAGCAGCACTGTGTGTTGTGTGTGGTGACCATTTGCACAAGTACATCAGTGAAAGATGACTGGCCGGGTAGATGGACAGATGGGTGGTTAGATGTGTGCACGGGCAAAAGGACGGGTGGGTACATGAATAAGTAGGTGGATGGTCAACCGATGGATGGGTGGGTAGATGTGTGAATGGCTGAGTAGATGGAGAGGTGACTAGGTCTGTGATGGATAGGTAGGTGTGTAGATGGACAAACACGTGAGTGGACAGGTAGATAGATGAATGGGCAGATGGGTAAAGGGTGGTATGAATGGCGGGTAGAATTTTGTGAGGAACTATTCCTCTAAGAGCCATTAGAAAACCATCCCTTCCCACCACCAAGCAGGACCACCAGTGGCCAGGAGCTCATGCATGTCACAGACAGGTGTGACACCCTTTCCTGAATCGCTCTCTTTCACTTTCCCATAGACAATGATCCTTAACCTTCTTGCTTGCATATTTTTTCTTTTCAGGAAACACTGTAGCTCTGGCTGACCTCAAACCCACAGAGATTTGCCTGCTTCTGCCTCCTGAGTGCTGGGATTAAAGGTGTGCACCAGCTCCTTAGTTTTCTTCAACCCCAATGTTTTAGGGCTCTTCTTCAACACAGGGACAGGGCAGGTCCAGGTTGCGTCTTGCCTGGGCATCTGTGCTCCCCTAATACATGGTTTTTAGTCTGTCACCCTTGCTACCAAGCATCGGCAACACTGACTTTGGAGTTCCTCCAGCTGGCCACACCCTGTCTTTGGCGATAAAGCTGTTCTCTTCCAGAGAAGGCAAGACTAGTCAAGGGAGGGCTGAAGATCCATCAGACAAGACAACCTAATCTATCAGGAAAATCACTGGGCTAATCAAAAAATTATGAGAGCTTCATGAAAATTAGAATGGGAAGATGAGAGACCTTCCCCACGAGCAACATTCTTTCTTACTCCTTCTAAGTCACAGCCCTGGCAGGTCTCTGCTTCCATTTAGTCATAGATATCATGGCCGTGTTCCTAAGCCTGGTGTGGAGCTGACAATCTGCAGTGTTGCTGGCCAGGGATCCAGCCCTGGGCACAGAAGGGACGAGCAGTGAAAAGAGCCATCAGAAGTCAGGATGGTGCAAGAAGAAAATATTCTTCATTTGGACAACTAATCCCATTGAGCAAGATAGTAATTTTCTAGGCCTGCTAGATCTCAGAGTCTTTGTTTCAAATTATCCCTTGGTGGATCAATTGCCAGTCCAGGCCATTTTTCTGCAGAGCCCTCTCTTCATGTCCTTCCAAGATGGTGATGATCAGACCATCTGATAACAGGCCCATTAAGGAGTGGGCTGATGTAGGTATTAGGAGGCGTGGAAAATAACTTGTGTACAGGCCTGCTCAAATCACCTCTCAAGAATCTGCTTTCTTAAAACCCAACACACCTCCTTCCCATCTGTCCAAATTCTGCTAATGCTTTGGAACTAAGTGATCACAGCCTAGAGGGAAGAGTGAATTCTCAGAATGGTTTCTGAGATGTTTGCTCCTGGGAGGAGTTGGAGGAGAAGGAGGGGGAGTACTCATTTCAAACAGTCCTCAGCAGCAGCCACCCCTGGCTGTTCCTACTACAGTCAGTCTAGAATAGAGTGTATGTACTTAAGACATGCTCAGGTGAAATCTTGACTGGGTTATAAGTACCCAGATGTTAGTCCCTGTGTACAGGGATTGCTGTGTCCCTTTTCTGGGTGATTTCAACCTGAGACTGGAGACCAAGCAGAATGGTGTACCCTCTTAGTGTGGGCAGTCTCTTTCAGTGTTACAGGCCTGGACAGAACAAAGACAGGAATAGGAAAGTGTTTATTGTCCATAGCTGCTGTCTTCAAGCTGGAACACTGATCCTATGCTTTTGGATCAGAACTCAGCTCAGGACTTTCACCCCTGGCTCTCCTGGGCCTCAAACTTCTGTATTTTGACTAGAACTGAAGCACTGATTCTGCTGGGTGTGTAGGAGACACAGATGATAGGTGGGTGGGTGGATGGATTGCTGGGTGGGTAGATGAATAGATGGGTAAATGGATGACGGGTGAATGAATGGACACACAGATTTCTATTGGTTCTGTTTTTCTGCAGAACCCAGACTCATACAGGCTTTCAAAGTTCTCAGGCACTTCCAACTTGTGCATAACAGGGATGCCAACCACCCTGCTTACAGAGGCCACTTCTCTCAGACCCGTGAGTTCTTCTCTCAGATCCTTGAGTTCTTCTCTCAGATCCTTGAGTTCACATATACAACTGACTCACTGAGTGGGGTTGATGTCTGAACCTTGGGGTCTGGACAACCCAGCTGGATAGCCCCAGACTGTGGTCCCCTAGCTAGCCTGTGGTCCCCACCCTAGTGGTCCTCTCTCTCGCCTCTGATGCCTACAGCCCTGGGTGCTCTGAGCCTGTACCTCCCGCTCGGGCATCAGCATCTCATTTCCAGTGGGCGTTTCCTCTTGTGAACCCAGATCAAGTCAAAAACACAGCTGTAATTTGGACTCTGGTCCCCGTAAGAAGCCAGGATTCCTTATTTTTCTTTTCTCTAAACCCAAATCCACCTGTGTAACAGGGATTGGGAGCGCCCTTGTCTTCCCATACAAAGAAATGCATCAGGCCCTCGGTCTCATGATGAGGTCTTGACACTTCTGGCTTGGTTACTTCTGAGACTGCAGAAACCTTGCTGCCAGTTCTACTGTGAACAACATAAGAAGTCTTTGAAAGGGATCATAAAAAACGAAAGAGGTGTGAAAAGCAATCTTTTGGGCTATTACAGCTGAAAAGTCATATTCTAGAAAGGAAGGGTGTATCAAATGCAGCCAAATCAATTTAGAGCCAGGGCTGGGTTTCCATTTCTTTGTAAACTGCTCTATGGGTCTATAGGGGAAGAAACAGGATATAGACACAAAAATTGATTTTGTATGCATTTCTTTAGTAAGAGGGTACTGGGCAAGAGAGAAGGAGCCATCTCTGCAAACGTTTAAACAGATTTCTTTGCAGGTATTAAATAAAACTAAGAGCAATTCCCAAGCCTTGCTCCCACCCAGAGCACTTACTGTAGACTCAGTTAACCTTCAAATCACTGACAAGGTCACTGTGGTTAAGGGGTGTGA